AAGCTGATATAAGTTTGGTCTTTGCTATTTAAAGGGTGTATACACAAATGAATTAGAGTTGTGAAGGTTTTGTTTTTTTTTTTTAAGAAATGCAATGGTATTAAAGAAATAGAAAAGAAAGATACAAAGCAACTTATGTGATAGAAGATCCCAAGATATATAGTGTATTCACCTCCTGCCTTGCTCCTTATGCCATAAAAAGTTCCTACAAAACTTATCAATATCTTTGAGAATACTCTTTGGAACCAACAAATGAGTCATGATGATTAAAGGAACATAAGAGTAAACTTTTTTAACCAACAAATGAGTCATGATAAAGAATGCAACCCCTTTGTATTGAGCTTATTCATGGCTTAATTTAGAACAAAAGGATAATCAACCACTTTTAACCTTCTAGTAGCCATCTTAATTCCATGATAATAGAATTCTTCCACTTTATGATAGCACATGATTCTTTTTAACTTCCTTAGTCCCTGTAAGGTACAAAATTCCAATACATTACCATTGATTTGTTTTGATTAATCCTTTGTCCCGTCCAACTGTAATAATATGTCATAATCCTGTTAACGATTTTTGCATTACTGACAGATGCTTCAGTTGTTATCATCACATCATCAGCAAATAATCGATGAGAAACCTTCGAGGTGTTCGGTGCAATTCTTAAACCCAACTCACGACCTCTATTATGAGAAGATTTTGATAGCAATTTAGAACATAGAATAAAAAGGCCAAGAGAAATAGGACATCCTTGTCAAAACCCAAATTTTGCATATATCCAATTACTTACTATTCCATTTATAATAATCGAAAATTTTTAGTAGATAACACATTGTATAATTACATTATTAAACATTTTTGGGAACCCCAGAATCAGGAGAACCTACTACAATGTCTCCCAGCACATTCTATCATAGGCTTGTTCCATATAGAGTTTGAGTAACATAAAACTCGACTTAGCTTTGGAGAATCTTAGCTTATTTACTATCTCATGAGCTAGAAAATAATTATAAGAAAAATATTTTTTTTTAGGCATTCAAAATGTATTAGCCGTGTATGAAAATGATTTCAGGAATCCATAATAAAGAGAGATTTAACTATGCAAGCTGAAGAATGCATGCTTGTATAACACGAGCTGGTGATAGTCAGTTGGAGCAAAAGGCGAATGCCAATGAGAAATTTAGGTGTTGCATTCATGAATGTTCAAAAGATGAGGATGATGCCCTTTTGAGTGTGAATACTGAGGTTGTGAGGGTAAAACTTTATAAGATGAGAGGTTTTCTAAATGCCTTTGATTAAAAATATTTTCAGATGAGGTTCTTGGAAGATAAGGGTCACCTCATGAGCTCTCATTTATTTTTGATGCGATATCATGAGATGAAACATGAGGAAAAGGGTTGCCATTCGCTAGATGTTGAATGCAATAACCTTAATATTGAGCATGTGATTTTATAACATCATTAGAAATCTAGATATGATGAGTTCATCTTGGATTTTTATAACAATCAGATTAAAGAGCAATTACCTAAATGTAAGCCTATAAATTTCTTAAATGGTTTGGACTGGAAAGACCTTCAATATAAGTTTGAGTTTCATCTCATATATTGCCCAACTCAGACCCAACTCTAATAACATCTACGTATGTTGCTTAAGAAATAGTAAGTTATGTAGTTGTATGAATGTTAACTTCATTTGTGTTTTCTTTATCATGCTTATTATATGTAATATCTAGTGTGTTTATGTACTTTACTATAATATGAAATCAGTTATATGTATAGAATGTTAAAATTAACAAAATCTAATTTTTGTGTACTTTGTGCTCAAACTTGTACAAAGCATGTTGGAGAATTTAAAAGGACTTGATTGGAGGGCTCATCTACAAATAAATAAATAAATAAATAAAAGTACTTTGTCTCTGTTGCGGGCTATATGATTGTGAAGTATATTATTTGTTAAAAAATATTTATTATTTAATTTATTTTAATGTTAATAATTTTTTTTTCATTATAGAAGTATTTAATACTTCTAAATTTTAAAAATATAATCGAAATATAGAAAATGTTTCCTGGATACATGGCTAAATTAATCATTTTTTATTATTGACTACACTACAGGAAAATCACTCATTTCCGGCGGCCTTTTCCGGCGGAAATTGAATCTTTTCCGGTGGTTTATGTACCGCTGGAAACCGTAGTAAAAAACCGCCGAAAAAGTGTCGAAAAGCCGCCGGACAAGGCCGCCGGTAATGGGTGATTTTCCTGTAGTGCTATTTCTAGTTATGTCTTAATGTTTTAATGAAATAAAGTAGCATTGAAAGTTTCGTTTGGGGATGCTTTTTTACCACTTTCTAAAGTAATTTTTTAGTACAAAAATTTCTTGAACTAAGTTTTTTGTACTAAAAAACTGCTTTAAAAAACTTTAAAAAAGCCATCCCAAATGAAGCTGAAGTCTTAACTTGAACATTATAAGCTTCTTGCTTTTTCAAATTATAACTGTAGATAATGTATCTTCCTAACTAAAAATTGAACATAGGATTGAAATATAATTAACTTGAACTTTTCTCTCTAGGCTTGTGCATTGTTTGGATAAAATTGAAAAATCAAAAGAAATTAATTTTACATGGTTGTTGACATATCAATTTGATTATGGGTTATAATTTTAATTTTATTATATTTTAATTGTAAATATTTTTTTTTTCATTTTATAAAGTAATTGATTTCAAATTTAAAATCAATAAAGTTAAGGAATAAATAAGTGATATAAAGTTCATGTCAAAATCGTCATATAGTTTAACAAAAATATTTTTATTTTGTTTAAGCTACAAATAATTAGATTGATTATTAAAATTAATTATATTTTGGTTCATTCAAAATTGAGCCGAACTAATCAAATTCAGAATTATTTAATTTAAAAAATAATTTAATCAAATAAAATTTTTAAAATTTACAATAAATATCAATTCTTTTAGCTAATTCTTAAATCAAATTATCAAAATTCACCAAATACTAACCCCTATTGCCATCCCTTAGATTCTTAAAATTTGGTAGCACACATGCATTTAAAATTTGCTAGCACACATGCATGCAGTTTACTATAAATAAACAAAGAGGCAGTTGCTGAAAAGAACGGCCAAGGGGTGCTATATATATGGATCGTTAATCGTTAAATAACATTATCATATAATAATTTTTCAATATGCTAATAATCTTAAGAATTTACGAAGACATGCAACAATTCTTTCCCAAAAACATCCAAAGAAAATTATGTGGTTGGTAATTAATATTCATCCCATCCCACAAATTTCTCCCAACCGAAGACTTCTTCTTCAATCTCTCTGGACCAACGCATTCTAAATCCACAAATTGAGGGGACAGATAGATAGCGGTATGATAGCCAAGGAAAAGCTCAACCACATTAATTATATAAATCACCCTCCTTACTCTTCTCCGTCCTCAAGTAATTATAATATATCCTCTCCATTTTCACCCTCCATACAATACAACTAAATCTCTTTTCCAGCCATATATTAATCGTGTTTTCATATCCTCCTACTACAATGGTTTCTGTTGACCTGATACGCACCGCCGTAGGGATCATCGGCAATGCCATCTCTTTGGTCCTCTTTCTTTCACCCATGTAAGCATATATATCTCTCTATCGTATACTCAACATTTACAATGTTTCATTTATACAACTTTTTTAATTGCTTTCTACATAAACTTTTTAATATAGAATAAAAAAATAATGATAAAAAATATCCCAAATAAAATATTCGTATAAATGTTAGTAGGATATATATTATCTCATTAAAAATTTGATATGGTTGTATTACTGACTTGAATATTTTAGAATAAAGATCTAGATGAACATTTTAGAATGTTTTTATCGGCCAAAATTTTATTTATATTTAACCATTCTTATTATTATCTTAAAATGCAAGAAAAATAATTATAAATCCTTTTTAACTATCATGCAAGATATTGAGTGGCAGTTTTGTTTGTTATGAAATGTTATGGAAAGAATTCAGATTTTTATGAAATTTTGCTGTAATTATTAGAAAACAAATATTTTTATGTACAAATAATTATAATATTAAAAATATTGATATACAACTTTGCATACAATAATATTGAACTAATCCCATTTTAGTTTTATTATTTTATAACATTTTAATCTAAAAATTTTAAGATTAGAATACCACAGCATTGATTCTCTTAATTTATGATGAATTTGATGCCTGCATATATCACTGAAGCAGGCCACTTAAGCACCCCAATAAAATTCATACTATTTTTACAGATAATCATGCATTTATGCAATGTAAAGATATATCTTATATTTTTCAGGCCAACATTTTATCGAATATGTAAGAACAAATCTGTGGAGCATTTCTCTGTAGTCCCTTACATCGCGACGTTGCTAAACTGTATGCTTTGGGTATTATATGGGATGCCCTTCGTGAAGCCTAATAGCACCCTAATAATAACTATTAATGGAGCCGGCACTATGATAGAGCTCATCTATATCATTATCTATGTCCTTTACTCGGATGGGTCAAGACGGATCAAAGCCCTTTTACTTCTCTTCACAGACATCGCCTTCATTGCTGTCGTCGCTGCTATTGTTCTTTCCATCTTCAAATCCCATGAGGAACGAACACTAATTGTTGGTATTCTATGTATTGTTTTCTGCATCATGATGTATGCATCACCTCTCTCTATTATGGTAAGTTAGAAAGAACAAATGTTCATTTTATACAATAAATAAATTATTATTAGTAAAAATATTTAATGTAAATACCTATTAAAATATTATTAAAAAATTTAAATAATAAATTTATGTTGCTTTAAAAAAATTCATGACTTTTTATGACTCCCATTAAAGCTTTCGTGTATAAGTGATGTGCTTCATGTTTTCCATATGTTACAGAAAAGGGTGATAAAAACAAAAAAGTGCAGAGTACATGCCTCTCTATCTCTCTATTGCTTACTTCTTTAATGGGCTATGCTGGACTACTTACTCACTCATCCATCTTGATGTGAACCTCACGGTAATTGCATGAGCCAACTTCCTTTTTTATTTTTTATATTTTGCTCTTCGATTGTATTAATGAAGATGTTGGAGTAGATCTAGAAGCAAATAAGATTAGAGAGAGTTACCTTATATGATATCATAACATAAAACATTTGTGTTTTGATGATCCAATAAGGATAGTAGATGCATTAGATCTTACCATTGTTAATAAAGTATAGATTGGCCACAAAATGACTTGATTAGAAAGTATTAGAAATTATTTTTTAAATTCAATTTTAACAAAAATTTGACTCTTAATAGGACATAATGAACGAAAAATATTCATGTAGCCGATCTCAAAATAGTGGGATAGACTTGATGTATTGTGGTCGCTGGATTGTATTAGGTCGACATAGAAAAATAGTTGAAGTAGATTTAAATAAGAATTTGACTCTTAATAAGACAAAATAAAGAAAAAATGATTCATGTAGCCAACCTTAACTTAGTGGGAAAAAGACTTGATGTTGTTGTTGCCCTTGATTTGTATCATATTCGCTATGAAATATATTTTTTGCACGTATATTAATATGACATATGCATGATAGATTGGATAACCCGAGCTAATATTTGATGAGCCAATCTGTTTCAAGTCTAGGAGACTTGAATGTTTCACACGTTAAAATTAGTAAATTTAAATTAGCAGTAATAATATTTATATACATATAATTAATTCTTAAAAATTAAGTGTAATTTTTGGCTCATTATTTTTAGGTTTTAGTTGCCTAATTAGAGCTCTAAGTTCTAGAATAATTTCTGGAAATATTAAAAGCTTATTCAAGAATAATTCTTAAATTTTTTTTAAATAGTATTTAATGTTTTCATGACATAATAGAAAAATTATCTAGAAAGTTAATTCTAGCCGTTAGATTGAAGGGTCTTGGTATAATCTTAATTGAAGTACTAGGGTATAAATGGTGATGTTATCTTTACTTATATCAAGAAAAAAATAACTGAGATTCATATTGATTAGCCAAAAATCTATTTTTTCATGATGATGATAAGTATATTGATACACACTATTATTGCATCAAATAATCTATCATAGTGAAATACAAGTTGAGCATGTAAAGTCTTAAATCAAGTTACAAATATTTTCATCAGGCCACTCCATTGTAAAGATTTTAACAACTTAAACAATTTACCCAAAATTTAAGTTTAAAGGGGGTGTTGGGAATTATAATTTATTTTGACCCATTTTTATTTGGGCTTTAATTGTCTAGTTAAAGTTTTTATTCAAAAGAAATTCATAGAAAAATCTAGAATAAAATTTATTCTCTCTCTCACTCTCTCTTTATATATATATATATATATATATATATAAAGAAAGAATGAGAGAGAGAATAAATTTTATTCTAGATTTTTCTATGAATTTCTTTTGAATAAAAACTTTAACCAGACAATTAAAGCCCAAATAAAAATGGGTCAAAATTAAGTATAATTCCCAACACCCCCTTTAAACTTAAATTTTGAGTAAATTGTTTAAGTTGTTAAAATCTTTACAATGGAGTGGCTTGATGAAAATATTTGTAACTTGATTTAAGACTTTACATGCTCAACTTGTATTTCACTATGATAGATTATTTGATGCAATAATAGTGTGTATCAATATACTTATCATCATCATGAAAAATTAGATTTTTGGCTAAGCTATTGAAGATTAGTCATCAATATGAATCTTAGTTATGTTTTTCTTGTGATAAACTTAACTCCTTAAACAAGTTTCAAAGTTAAATTGTGTGACAGATACATGAGGTTACTATTTCAAAGTTAAATTGTGTGACAGATACTTTAGAAATCGAAATGGTTAAAATTAGAAAAGTTTTAGGTCTAGGAAAAGTTAAGGAGATAAGAAATGCTATATTTGATAGAAGAATTACTATTTTTTATTATAAATTATTTAGATAAATTAAGTTAAATAATTTAATAAATTATTAATAAATTCATATTAAAAGTATATGCTAAGTCTAGGGGCTACAGCGCGGGTCAGCTGGCCCGTGATGATCTTGCTTGCATCGGACTAGTTGAGCTAGCATCTATTGGGCGGGTTGGGCTGGCCGCAAAAGTAGGAGTTGGGGAAAATAAAGAAAAAAAAACAAAAAACAAAAAAAGAATTGAAAAACAGATGTGAACGCCCTCGGCCAGGCCCGCCCCAACTCCTACTTTTGCGGCCAGCCCAACCCGCCCAATAGATGCTAGCTCAACTAGTCCGATGCAAGCAAGATCATCACGGGCCAGCTGACCCGCGCTGTAGCCCCTAGACTTAGCATATACTTTTAATATGAATTTATTAATAATTTATTAAATTATTTAACTTAATTTATCTAAATAATTTATAATAAAAAATAGTAATTCTTCTATCAAATATAGCATTTCTTATCTCCTTAACTTTTCCTAGACCTAAAAGCTTTTCTAATTTTAACCATTTCGATTTCTAAAGTATCTGTCACACAATTTAACTTTGAAATAGTAACCTCATGTATCTGTCACACAATTTAACTTTGAAACTTGTTTAAGGAGTTAAGTTTATCACAAGAAAAACATAACTAAGATTCATATTGATGACTAATCTTCAATAGCTTAGCCAAAAATCTAATTTTTCATGATGATGATAAGTATATTGATACACACTATTATTGCATCAAATAATCTATCATAGTGAAATACAAGTTGAGCATGTAAAAGTTTTAAATCAAGTTAAAAATATTTTCATCAAGCCACTCCATTGTAAAGATTTTAACAACTTAAACAATTTACTCAAAATTTAAGTTTAAAGGGGGTGTTGGGAATTATACTTAATTTTGACCCATTTTTATTTGGGCTTTAATTGTCTGGTTAAAGTTTTTATTCAAAAGAAATTCATAGAAAAATCTAGAATAAAATTTATTCTCTCTCCCTCACTCTCTCTCTTTATATATATATATATATGAAGAAAGAATTTGAATGTAATTAACTATCTCCTGATTCTTAAATTTATGTTTCAGATTCCAAATGCAACTGGGTTGTTGTTTGCTATAGCTCAATTGCTATTGCATGTCATTTATAAAAAATCAACAAAGCGAGAGTCAAATGAAGGGAAGAGCGAAGTGGCGCTCTCTGAGGTGCATGTTGCACATTAAAATGTCTATAGTCTCAAAGCATTAACAAGTGTTTGTTTTTTCTTTAGATGTTAGAACTATTTAATTTCTCTACTAATTAAGGCTTCATTTGGATTGAATTTTTTTGTCTACATAAAAACTACAGTCTTATCATGTATTTCTGAACGTTCAGCTAATTTTAATTTAGTTGTAACTGATCTTTTCCAATTTTAGTTTTCTATGAACTCAATTTGATTTTCTGATTGCTTAGCATAGACTTTTATTATGAATTTATTATTCTTATTATTATTATTATTATTACCTTCCGATTGCTCGACGGGGAAAATAACTGATCAGATCGTCTCGTACAAAGTGATATCATACAATACGATCAATTTAAAAAATATGAATTTTAAACTCTCCCCAAGTATGTATGTGCTCAGTTACTCAATTATAATCACACTCTCTCAGACTCAATAAAATAAAAAATACAGACTTCAATTATAATAAACTCTAAACTGATCTTGATTTGAAGTCTTCAACGTTGAATCTTGAATTGCTTGTTAGACCTAAGCTTATGTCCCAAGCATAACCAAGAGGTGTGGTGAATTGGTAATTTTAAAAAATTACTATTGGATTTAAAATTTGAAAATGGTTGACAATTTGTAGCAAGTTAATTGAAGTTATTTGAAAACAAAATTTTCAACCACGAAATAAAAACTTGCAGTAAGTAAGCAGCAAAAATTTAAAGACACAAAGATTTATAGTGATTCGCTCAAACACGATCTACATTCACTCTCTGAAGACTTCTTCTTTTGGTATTGCACTATTACTAAAGTGACTCTCATTTTGCCCCCACAGCAAGGCGGATAATCCTTTACAAAACTCTCTTCTACTAATCCCCAGTGCGATAGAGAACCGTGGTCAATTCACACCCTCCAAGTGTAGACAGAGAACCTTCGTCCTTTCATTCCCTCCAAGTGTAGGCATAATACCTTCGCCCTTTCACACCCTCCAAGTGTAGGTAGAGAACCGTTAGTTGTTCACACTCTCCAAGTGTCAATAGAGAACTAAATTTTCTTCAAAGATCTTCTCACGAGCAATCTAGAAAGATAAGAGGAAAAGTGATAACCATAATTACAAAGAGATCCTTACCTTTGAGTAACCTTGTGAACCCTTCACACTCCACTTGCAAGAAATCTATCTCAAACACTCTCTCACACTCTCTCATTCAATTGCCCTTGAAAAATCACGAAGACAAGACTTTTTCATGTTGCTTTTTTATGGACCATAAAACTGAAATTTTCAATTTTGAGCATTCGCGATCGTACAGTACAATCATATTTTATATGTATGAAAAGTTCAAATACTATTGCATATAAACCTTTTGTGAATCGGTATTAAATTATTTCATACCCGATCATCATCCGGTACGATCCAAGTTAGTCCGGGATGAACAATATAAAAATTTTCAAAATTCATTTGAACGAAACGTCGGGACGAAATGGGACCTCACGATTTCGTACTCTGGAAGGCATGTATGAACTGGGTTCATACTGTACGATCCATACTTAGAAAAAATATTTTTGAGATAGAATTAACCCGAGACGTTTGTACTCGTGAAAGCATGTACGAACTGGGTTCGTGCAGTACGATCTATGTATAGAAAAATTATTTTTATGTGGCCTGGAACCTGAAATGTTCGTACTCGTGAAAGCATGTACAAATTGGGATCGTCTCGTACCATCCATACTTAGAAAAAAATTTATTTCTATTCATTCGACTGCTTGACGGGGAAAATAACTAATCAGATCGTCTCGTACGAAGTGATATCATACAATACGATCAATTTAAAAATTATGAATTTTAAACTCTCCCCCGTTATGTATGTGCTCAGTTACTCAATTACAATCACACTCTCTCAGACTCGATAAAATGAAAAATATAGACTTCAATTATAATAAACTCTAAACTGATCTTGATTTGAAGTCTTCAACAATTCGGAGTATAATTTCCCTGAAATATTATTACACACCAGAGCAAAAATAATTATTCAAAAATAAGTTAGAAGAAATAATAATCAAATCAATATTTTTTGGAATCATAAAAAACATACAAGTTGCAACTATCTCAAGATGACTATGATAAAGACTTTTTTTAATTGTTGATTATGAAATAAAAATATTAATTAGTCCAAATTTTTTGAGTTTGATTAGGTCAATTTATAAAAAAAAATCATGTGAAAAAACTGAATGTGAAAAAAAATTACGCATGGAGAATCAAATTACGCATTAGAGAGAATGTGAAAAAAAATTCATAAATTGTAGAATGCGAAAAACTGAATTCTGCATTCAATGCATTCAATAGAATTTGAAAAACGATTTATTGCATTCTACATTCAAGGTTTTTTTTTTCCGGTTTTGGTATAAACTATTTTTTATTGTATTAATATTAATTAGGAATTTAATAATCTGTTATTTGAAGATATGATTAACCGTAGAAAAAACAGTTAATTAAATTGGTATATTATAGATAGATTATATTAGCTTAAAATTAATTTTTTCTAAGTAGTAATAATATTTTTTAAACATTTACTTTTATTATAAAATGTTAATAATACACTTATTATTATTTTTGTAAGGTAAAATAATTTTTTATTTTATTTTTATATTTATTTTATTCATTTAGTTATAAATCTTTAAATAATATTTACTATATATTAAATATAATGTAATAATGAAGAATTTATCAGATGTATTTGTATTATTGTATGTCATATAATTATTTCAGCACTTGAACAATTCTTTTAAGTTCTGTAGTTCTATTATAATTAAGAATCTAACTTTAGAACTAATATATGAATAATATATCTAATATTTCTTAACTTATTAACATAATATATCATGTTATATCATTACAATAAGATCAGATATCACCACCATAAAGCTCACATGTATATATCGCTGCATACACTATGTCAGGAGCTCGTACAGTATATACGCATGAGTATACAACATCGTCATCTCTCTCGTGAAAACTATCAACTACTACTTATATAATGGCGCTCAGAGCTATGCATCACCATATAGGAATTTAAACTAAGTCCGTGGATGAATACTGATCTCCTCAAAGATTCCTCACTGCGTGATCTTCAACCGTACTCTCTATTATATATACATATAACATTGGTTGTCCGGAATCTACAGGGTCATGAATATATTATCTGTGTATCTCTCTCCGTTCACCTCACATCCATCAAAAGAGTCGACCCGATGTAATCCCTGAGTGATCATTATGAGACATCGTGATCTAGCTTCTCACCCTTACTGGACATATAACGTGCTGTGTGTTCCCATTACCGTTTCTGGGAAATCTCCATTAAGTTTCCTGTCGCTATGATTATATGATGAATGTATCTTTTCCCCATTCCTTAAGTGGTCCTATGGACAGTGCTATGTTCAGCATCGAGTGGAATATACTTGTAAGATTTGGATTATTGCTTGCTTGGGTGTTTCTCATTTTACATTTTGAGCCTCATTTGCTTACTAGCTTTTACTCTGTTACTCTCACTCTCCAATATGAATTTTTATGCGTAATCTCTGTGCCGAGAGGAGAGAACATATATATGCAGTGCGCGTCCTCATAGACTTCCGCTATCGCGAGCTCAGGAATACTGCCTCACATGACATACATCTACGCAGCGTGGCGCTCCTCCGATGATATATAGCTTCTGACTTCCTGTCTCGTCCGTAGCTAAATCTGAGCTGATGACGCATGCAGCTCAGTACAGGTCCTGTGTTCTCAAGAAGACTCTAATCGGTAATGCTACAGGAAAAACATTTCATTTATGGGAAAATCATGCTGGAAATGTGATGATACTGGCTATAACTAATAACGCTACCACCTACCTCCGCATAGTATTTATAGGAAAATTCTAAAAGCAACATAATTGAAAATTAAAAATCCGTATCGATCTATGAGAGTGTCGCGCGTGTGTGTGATAGAGAATAAATAGAACTAGATCTGAATTATCGTTGGATTTAGCCACGAGTCAATCTCCTGTAAGTAACTTGTAGCACCACTCAATACTCACCTGGCCTCGCCCCTCGCATTAATCTATTCACACTCAATCCTCTCTCTGATATATTGTCTCTCATCTGAGTCTATAACGTGATGCACACTCAGTAGTCTGCGGCTAGACTAACCATAACCGTGACTCGTAGCTGCATACCTACGACTCAAGATCACTACTTCTCCATTCCCTCTCACATGAGGTCTCATATGTTACTATCTCCTGCTGTGATTATACTGTATGATCGCGATCAGTAAGAGCATATACTCACGTCTACCAGTAGAGTGATTACCACATAGTGTGAGTGAATAGAATCGCTGAATAAATATATATAATACCACTCTCTAATAATGGTATGCTCATCCCGGATAGCTCTGTAATGCCATTACGCAGCCGGCATGGGAATATACCTTCCACTCTCTGCTAACCAATGGGTGCATGACGATACGTATCTGTCATAATTTTGTAATTTGTTAATTCTGCTCTTTTTAATTTATGTATATTTTGATTTATTAGAAATTTTTTCAAAATTCGTCGAAACAAAACTGTCGGAAATCTATCAGAAATTGAATTCATCAAAAATTCTGCCAAAAAATCCGTTAGAAGTTCAACCGAATAACCATCAAAAAGGGGAAATGACAAAAATGTTCCGACTAGGCAATCTGTCGGGGCAGAATTTCTAGCGGATAATGTTTGCCGAAAATTCCATCAATGAATGAGCCATTTTTCTTGCTATGGCAAAAAAAAAAAAATCATAAATAATAATTCTCATGAAATATTATAACCTTAACACAAAACTATTATAAGCAGGCAGATTAACCAAATTAGATTCCATATACTCTTAGCTTCAAAGCTATTAAAACCAGATGTTGAATAGCCTTTTCATTTATTTTTTCAAGTTAGCATCCACATAAATAAATTTTTTAATATACCAATAATAAATCAAAATGTGAGAAAGATACTCTTATTG